AGTTTCAATCGAGATTCACTCGCTGCGAGTTCGCTTCGCATTTGCTGCATCGAGTTTGCACTAAATAAGGCAGGAAAAACGCTGAAAAAAGCACAAAAACGCAGAGAAAGAAGCTGAAATAAACCACCTCAAAACACCTGAGAAAAGGGCAGAAAATTAACGAAACTAAGCCCAGAAAGCAAAAACAAAATCCCAACGTCACTTTAATTTTGTTCTGTGTGTGCGTGTGTGTGTGTGTCAGTGCCTGTGTGTGTGTATAAGTAACTGCTGCGCTGCAGTCGACAGCGCAGCAACTTCGACGCCGACAGTGCGGCAGAAGTTTCGCCAAGAAAAAAGACGGGTGAAAATAACGGCAGTAAATAGCAGAAAAAAGAAGGTCAACAGTTGAAAACTTCAACCCAGAACAGACCACCCACCACCACCACCCACTCTTCTTCGGTGCTGACGGCGACCGCGGCAGCGACAGCGGCGTTGACGTTGACGTCGCCGCTGCCCAGCGTTTTCCGCTTTTCCCGTTCTTCGCTTCTCTTCAATTCAACAGCGCTTTTCCGCTCGCCAACCTCATCGAGCATGTTGATCAACCGCGGTTCCCTACTCGAAGGTAAAATAGCCGCTAAAACGATTACAATGATCAAGCAACACGTAAAATAAACAACAAAATTACTAGAAAAATAAGGAAATCAAGGAAAAACCATCCAAGAAAGTTTGAGTTACTAACTAATCAATAATAATTGTTCTGTCGCAAACATCACTTTCCAGTTTTTGGATTGCAGTTAAATTGTTTATCATCACAACCGAGAAAATATATAAAACTAAAGGAAACTATCAAAACAACCCGGACTTTTAGGTTTTTTTAATTTAACAATTTGGCAGTCAAAATAAAAATCTTGTGTGGGCCCTTTACAGAAGAATATTTTAAAAATAAAAATTTTAAATTGACTCAGCTAATATCGTGTTCCATTTTTGTAAAACATTTAGAAAGCCAAATATGGTGACGATTGCGTTAAGTAATATTGAAAACATGGATTTCTTATGATCCCTCTATAGATAAATAATATACAAAATTGTTATTAATTTTACTTTCAATGAAAATTGCTTTAAAACAATTTTGTTTAAAATTAATATTATTTCTTGTTAAAAATTGCAAAATGTTTTTCGTTGAATGTAATCCATCATATACCTAATATCAGTATAAACAATTCTATACCCTTCACAAGTTAACAACCTATAAATAAGGCGCCAAATCAATTGCATGTTGTTTAAGAAAAATTTACAAATTTTTTGTTTATTAGAATAGTTTTTTTATTAGCTGCAAGGGGAAATTTCGGGTCCTCAAATTTGCAATCCTTTCTTGTTTCTCATATATGTATCTTATACGCGTTATATCTTCTTCTTCTACCTGTAGCTCTAGCAGTGCATTTGGGAATCTAAATATACAGAATATAGTACAAAATATAAATAATATTTGTGAATAATTTAACAGAGAAATTGAGCATAATATTATTTTCACGCCCGGCGTAAAATATGCTGCAAACGTAATTAAAACATGCGAGAATAGCAAAGGATAGGATGACAAATGATTTAGTGCTGAAAAAACATATTTGGGAATGTAAAAACTATTAAAAGATAAAAAGTTACGAATTAATAGTTGGACAACCCATTTTTTTGGTAAACAAATTTAAAATATATATGCACCCAAAAGATGGCTCAAAATGCAATTCTATTAATTCTATAAAGTGTCAAGCAATGTCAACTTTTAAAATTAAATTCTTGATTTTTGTGATTGTGGTTCACTTTTGTTTTATTTTTTAAATATTTTCAAGGAATGAAGACAGTGGTTATTGTTGAGGTTTTTTCTAATCAAGAAGCTTTGCCCTGCTTTCCTCACCCACATGCATTCACTTTCCAACTACGTTTATGCAGAATGAAGAATGCGAACTACAACACTAATTACTAAAAAAGAACGTTTTAGATATGTTACTTCGAGATCGGATTCAGATATGTCACGTTATGGTTTCTAGCAATGCAGTTTTTGGGTCACCACTGCATTTTTTGTCGCATAAACGAATTAAATTGATAAATTACTCGTTCTTCTTCTTCGCCGATCTTCTGATTTTGATTCGGATCGTGCGTTTACTGCGCTGCCGCACTCGCCGTTCTCCTTGGCAGCGCTGCGTCATCGACGTCAATCCGGAGTAAACAAGATAATGACCCACATTGGGTGGGGGTGGGCGGCAGGTGTGGGGGTAGGGGGTAGTATACCCCTGCATACCAAGCACAAATGCAGCGATCTTCGATGTTTTTGCAGTTGCTTTTTGTTTGCGTCTCTGTTTCTGTTTTGATTTCTTATAAATATTTATGCAATTCCGTACGATCTGATATTTTGCCGCTGCCCTTTTGCTGTTTTGTTGCTTAAATTTATAATTTTCGTTTTTAGCTTAATTTTCGAAATTACCGCTTCTTTCATTTTTTCTTTGTTTTTTGATTATGCTTGTCTTGCGATCGGCGACCCCCAAATGCGTTTTTCGGTTTTTATATTGCGTGCACTTGGCATTGGTCCAAATCTACAATTTATAATTTATTAATGTTGTTTGTAATTGAAGAAAAAGAAATTAAGCAAACGTGTATAATACGATACGAAATTCCTTTCGAGCGACAGAAATAAGATCAAGCAAGGGCACAGACCTCTAGAATTTTAATACCGCCGACGCAGAATAATAAAACATGTGCAAACGATAAACGAGGCAACCTATGGGATATTTCGGTATTCAGTTAAGTTGTATGGTTCTTATATGCAAATTGTTTAGTTATTATTACAAATTTTATTTTGTTCACCTAAAAATAAATTATAATATTTAAATAAATAAAACACCTCAGTATATATTAACCATATATCCGTTTATAGTGTTCAACTACATATGTATACATACAGATGTACCTGAATTATAGTTTTTGTGAGAAGTTAACAGATGAAAACTTTACTTTCTGCCTTTAATGTCAAAATTCTGTTCCAAATCTTTTGTAAAAATATTACGTTACTCCAACTTCATCGCCTTTTAACCCATTAGCTTAAAGCGAAGAGAGATTTACAATATAGTCAAAATCAGTGCGCAATAGTGAATTGGCTTTGAGTTAAAGACAAGTCGCTCGAATCAGTAAACATATCGGCCAACAAGAAGGCGGCAAAACCAAGCACTACCCGCGATGTAAAACTCAAGGGTACCGCCCTCGAGGGCCCAAAACTGCCGGCGGATAAACATCTGGACCGCCAGTTTGTCCAGTCAGTAAACAGTTAGTGTCCCCCAGTTGGTTTGTAGCTAAATTCATCCCAAAGCTAATTAAGGGAATAAAAACCATGACACCACTTATGATATCTCTAATAACCGTTATTTTCTTTCTCCTTTCTTTTCAGGTAAGTTTACTATCATTTTGCTTAGTTATAAACGGGTAAACGGGTAAGCGAAACTCTGGCATTCATTGTATATTTCGTAATAACATCTAAGAATCACAATCTTCAATATGTTATAAAATGTTCAGTTGATGTAAGTTATAATGACAACTTAGTGTGACCGAAGCTACATAAATTGTAGTGCATGGCGTCAAAAGCATATATATTTTGTAGGTGCCTTTTCCATAAATTATACTATTCAATTTATGAAAAGTATTGAGTATAAGTTCTAAAAATACAAAATAAAAATGAGAAAACTAAGATAGTTCTTAAAAGTTTAGAAATAACAAATTGTTTTGGTTGAATTTTACCAAAACGTTTTGGAAATGGAAAATGAAGAATTTAAGGTACGAATTACTAAATTTTTTTTTTTAGAATTGTCCCCAATTTTTGGCTGCCATTAGGCCATTAAGGGCTTGGGTCTTGGTCCTTGCATACTTTTGGGCGGCCCCAGTTAATTGAACGGTACTTTTGTACTACTTGGATGCAATTTTTGGGTGCTTTTGGCCTTTACGGTGCTTGCAAGACCTCGTCAGCCCACCCCACGCGCCCCACTTCCCTCCACTTACTGTGTTTTTCATTCTTTTACCTCATGGGTTTTGTTGAATCACCGGCACGCGCGCTCTTTCCTCTGCCTCTTTCTATAGCTCTTTCTCGGTTACCTAATTTTTGCATAAGCCGCCGACACATGAGAAATTCCGCTGCACCGCGCACTTATACACCCACACAGATATAAATACGAATACGCACACATGTGCAGATGACACACTCGCGCACCTAATGCAAATTAGCTTTGCGTTGACTGGAAATTCTATCGCACGCGCTCTTTCTCTTTCTGCCCCCCTTTTTCTTGCCCTCAATTTATCGTACTCTCTGCGATTTCTTTACCGCTCTCTTTCAATGCGTGGATCAATTTTGCCGTCCTTCAGAATGCATAGTGGGTGAAGCGGATCCAAGTTTTGCCCAACAATACGAACCTAGCTGCCTAGTTTTCTTGTGCTGACTGTGGTAGATTAAATTTATTGTAATTTTATGAATGCGAGAAAATTTTTAAATCAATGAACATTTTTGTTGTAGTATATTGTATTTATTTATTATTTGATTGTAAGATGATTGGTTCCAAAGTGTGGATAGTACTTTAAATATGTTGTGTTTTTTAAGTTTGTTGGAATTTTTTAAAGTGATAAATTTTTCTAGGGAGCACATTCCACAATTTCCTGACAAAAATACTGTTTGTGGTTCACTGTCCAACGCTTAACGCTTCATGACTTTTACAGCTGAGGTCAATTAGTTAGTAGTTCGTTGATAAACATGACATCAGTATTTTAATCTGCAAGAAATGTAGTAAAAAAAAGTAATAGTTCATTTGTTTTGGTCTTCCAAAGGTTTTTTTTTTTTATAAATTAAATAATATTAGGGTCGGAAGGGCCTCTCGTTTTGACCGCTGCTGTGCTCGTGGGGCGCCGGCGTCGCAGCTGCTGCGCTGCCGGTGAATGTAAGTGTTGGATGTGAATGTGATGTGGATGCCGATGCTTCGACTCGCTCACTCGCGTTGAATCCATCGAGCAGGCGCGTCGTACTCTCCTCTCGTTCCGCTGCGTTCCATTCAGCAGTTCCGCGACCATTTACTTATTGTTTTTGTGCTTTTATCAGCGACAAAAAAACGAAACAAAATAAATAAAAATAACGGCGAAACAAAAAGTGAAACAAATTCGTGACGCGGCTGATTATTTCTTTATTTTTTGTGTCAACAGTGTGTGCAGTGTAATGTGTCCCCAAAACAAATACAAATAAATAGAATTCAATATGTATTGAAATCTAATTAGTTGCCACATTGTTGGATTTGCCGTTTGATTCCATTAGAAAATGAGAAAAGGGCTTACAAAATCCATTTAATTTGAGTCTATTTCACGGCGTTGTGAAATCTTTTTTACTGTAAACTTAAACTCAAATCACACACACTTTCTTATGTTGTTTTTGGAGATTTTTAAGTAGGAGAATGTTCTAGAAAGCTTTTTGAATTATCCCTCTTTGTAGTATTTTGTAAAACACTTGTCGTCCCACCATACAATCACATAAATATTATGTATACAAGTTTTTACTGCAGCTCCATTACCAAATTGATGAAGAAGTAGCTGAAAATTCATCAATGGAAAAATTTTTGCAATATTTCTATCTCGCTCGCTAGCTGGCCATCTCCCTCTCACCCCCTCTTTGCCTCGACAGACGCACAACAAGTGGCGAATGGAAGCGGCGTCGTCTTCAAACCTGTTTTTTTGAATCGTTGTTGTTACTGTTTCAGCGCACACAGAGAAAAAAACAACACGTAGATTTTTCATCATTTTTAGATTAGATTGATTAGATGATATTTATAAATTATATTTATTTTCTTTCCAATTGGCATTTACTGGCTATATAAGACAGATTGTTATATTAACGCAGACTTTTGCAAACGAGCTAATGGCATAATTACTTATATTTTACATATGTAATTGACTGGGCCATTAGGTAACGAATCATAAATAAATTGTTTGGTTGGTAGATTGGTAGATTTAGTAATAGTTATAGAACAAGCATTATAAATAGAGATGCTTAACCAATCTTAAATAAATTTATAATACAGACCAGAAAAAATTTCATTTCACGCGGCTAAATCAATAACTTTAATTCATTAATATGGTATAAAAAATCTCTTTTAAAAAGATTGAATGTGTAATTAATGCTGATAACATAAGGTCACGATCAGCATCGCCTTGTATCTCAAAATTGATCAGTAGTAATCGCTATTTTATGCTTATATAAAAACTATTATAACTTAAGAAAAAATTGAGATTTTAATTGTTTTCTGTGTAATTGTTACTGCGGCTGCTGCGTCTTCGCGATAATTGGTGGTGGTGGCTCGCTCTTCCCCAGTACCCGTTCCCCTCGAACTCTATCTTTCATTCCACTGATCAACATTTGCTTTTATGGGCAAATGTTCCTCAATGAGTAGTCTTAGCTATGGTGATCAGAGGGAGGAGGCGTTGTTAAAGTCAATGCAGTACGTGCATGCAATTCCTTATTGGCGACAATGTTGAAATATGCGCTTGGTTGCGAAGATAACACCAGCGATCAAAATAATAGCTCAAAAAAGCTAAATAACTTCGTAGTAAAAATTGTGATTAATGGGGAGAATGTGTCACAAAAACCAAATCAATCAAATCCTATTTTAGAAATTTGAAGTATTTTTTTACACCTAACTTTTTTGTTTCACTACTAAGCGTTATAATTTCCAAACCCACTTTTACCTTACCATAAAGATACGAAAACGGTATTCAATGGCTTTAAAAAATGCTAATCAAATGTGTATAAATGGTTTATTTATTTTTCGATTTTCGAATCCCTGAATCTAATGAACTTGATTTACGTATTACAAAAATTGGGAATACCAATGAGGAAGAAAAAAAATTCCTCTGCGAATTGGTTCAAGGTATTTTTATTGCTTTAGTAAATATTTACCACATTAGCAGGCTATCAGTACCTAAAGTATAATTTTGGCGTTAATTTTTCTACTTCTCAACTTTACCATAGTGTGACCTTAGTGTGTCGCTACTCTAGTTTTCTAGGCATAGTGTGGCCAGAGTCTAATTGGATTCAGTGCCTAAAACTGTGAACGCTATTATATATAGTGGCTTGGGACAAAAGTGAATTATTCATGTTGTTGCTGCTGTGTCGCTGCGCCAGTGGAAAATTCCCAAAAAAAATTCGCATGAACTGTGCCGGCTTCTCCTCCTTCGTCTTTGCCCTCTCCTTGGCTACTCTTCTCCTCCTCCTGCCACTCGTTCTTCTTCTTTGAGTGCCCCCCAAAGGCAAAAAGTCCAAGTCGAAGTTACTTGATGTGTGGTTGTTGTTATTGCTCGCTCTTTCGCATTTTTTTTTTAATTTCTTTAACATTTTTTCGTTTTATAAAAATAGCACAGACGAAGAAATATTTGCACACATACACACACGGGTGTGTTTTAGCATTTGTTTCGTTTGTTTCGTTTGGCGTCTTTTGTTTGTTGATTTTTCTGGTGATTCGCCTAATGCTTTTCCCCCTTTTTCTGCTGTATGTCATTTTTTTGTTGGTTGAGAGTTTCAGATATTTTATCTTTCACATTTTGAAGTTAAAAAATTTTTATCTTTAATGTGACAATCAGTTTTGTATCTCTTAAGCCTGCATTTCTCCATCTCTTTTGCCGCTCTTTCTTCTCTTTCACTTGCTCGCGCCTTAAATATGTCAATGGTTCAAGGCAGACGAATAAATGCTGAAAGGAGAACTATCACGGAGCTTTTCATTCGAAAAGCTGCTCAACAGGGAGCTTTGCTTTCGTCAGACTTTTTGGGGGCCAAAACTGCATGACGTGCCGCCAAAAACAACAAAAAAATTTTCGTTATTTCGTATTTTTGTGGTGCCATAAAAAATACCATATTTAAATATATGTTCGGAGAAGAGTAACTACTGCCAAAAAAATATTTATTTGAATAATCTCATACAAAATTTAACCAGGGGTATCTTTAAAATATAGCGATATCTACATTTGCCTATAAAGAGATAATTTTAATGTTTTGTAATATTTTTTCCCAGCCTGTTCACTGTTCAAGCTTGTGTTAATCATGAGCTATAGCTTCTGCTTCTGATCTCTCTGTTTCTATAGTCATTCTGTTCTGCTCATTAAAATCGAATCGACCTCGTTAAATGCAGTTGTTACTGCTCATAATATTAAATTTTCCCTATATTTTTCTGAGCCGCCATCCATCTCTTTCCTTTACTCTACTTTATGCAAAGTCAGCTGACTTATGTTTTACTTGAGCCACGCGTTCCACGTTGATCCTCTTAAAAATATTTTCACGTCTCGATTTACATTTTTTTTGTATTTGTATTTACGGCATAATGACGCTGATGATGACGCGTTCAAAAAACCGAAGTCGGAATAATATTGTCCCCCGATGATTTCTCACGCCCATTTTTGGAGGTGAATTGGAGCTTTGGCATTTTTGGTAACCAGAAATGTCGTTGCGATTGCAAATACAAAAAATAAATAAACAATATACGGAACACGGCCAATGGCACAAAAACCAGTGCAAGCCCCATAATGACAGCACTTACAAGTGGGAATACAGTGCGTTTCATAATACGGTGATCACAACTTCCGGTCAAGTTAACGTTGGTTTTCACATAATTAGTTGTTTTTGTTATTTGAGTTATAGAACGTGATAAATTAATTCCCGCTATATTTCTGTGGGGTCTTATGTAATAAATTTTGAATTAGTTTAAAATTGGAACACACGTAAACCGATTAGTTTTTATGTTATTAAACACGTAATAATTGTAATAAATATGTTTTAAGTTAAATGTATCGTTGATTAGATTCTTTTGATTAATGAACGATGCAGACTATACTTAAATCCATAAAGACACATGCATCGCCACACGGAACCTGCTGACGTTGTCGCATTGTTGTTATCGTTCAATTAACATTTTTCACTTCAATTTGCAATAAAATAATACGTACAATAATAAGACAAAGCAGGACGGGATGATACGGAATCGAATCGACTTTATAATGCAAGGGAAAGGAATATGGAAAGGCGTCAGTCGAATAAAAATAACGATACTAAAGTAAACAGCTCGGGTTGGATACAAAAAGCTGGCCAAGAAGCCACACGACGACTCGGGTAATAAAAGTGTGACAACAGCTTTAACAGCCGCGCTGTTCTATCCTACTTCATTTCAGACTCGAAATTGCTTTTTCGCTCAATTAATACGCTTATTTTTTATTGCATACAATTCTATTAAGCGAGTGTGTCCGTTGATTGGATGGTTGGGATTGTGTGTAGGGCATACAAATCGATTGGGGAATGCGAGCACCATCAAACGTACATTCAAAAATAAAGTTTCTTGTTATCTTCGTTAAAATTTTTTTTCCCACCGTTCCAAACTAAAAAACAAAATTTTTTGAAAATTGGTCCTTTGATTTCCTGATCGGATCTCTTTCAAAATCATTTTTGTTTATTTTAAAAAAACTACTAAGTTTTAATTTCCCGTTGGTTACGTCGATATTTACTTATTGATTAATTACCCGGTTTTTATTTTGATGGTATTGATTGACTGCAATTGGCAAGTTGAAACTAATCTGTTAATTGAGTTCTATATGGAAATGTCAATTAAGGGGTGTTGGTACCAGGGGGTTGTTGGCCCGGTAAATTGCTGCTCAATTTCCTTTTTTCAGGCCGATTTCGCGGAAATTCATACTGCAACACGAAAAAATGCACTTAATTTATGCGAGAATGTGGAAATGGCGGAAAAGCATTCGCCTTTGTGCCGCCTCGCTCCTCTTTATATTTATTCGTGCAAGTGAATGGAGAATATCGTATCGTTCTACTGATAATGTTCAGTATATATAGCATATATAGCCTCTAGTGCGCTTTTAACCTTTGCGGCTTACAAGCACGCGAAACTTAAAACGATACTCGGATTTGGATTTGGCTTTGGCTATTTGCGGTTCTTTTGTTGGTGGATTTGGTGAGCGAGGCCAGTAAACCACATTAAAACCAGTTGTATGGTGTCGGCAACTCCGCCGCCCACCTGCCTCTATCCCATCGTTCCCGCCCCCCAATTGGCAAGGCCGATTATCGACCGCTGACCGAAGGCTATGAAGAAAAAGCATAACAACAAAAAGTTAAAACGTTTAGAAAGTTACCAACTGTTAAAGTTGCCTTGATTGATTTGTTGCGTTTAATGT